TTTTTGAGGAACCTCCATACAGTTTTCCAGAGTGGCTGCACCAGCTTGCATTCCCACCAACAGTGTAGGAGGGTTCCCCTTTGTCCGCATCCTTGCCAACATCTGTCTTTTCCTGACTTGTTAATTTTAGCCATTCTGACTGGTGTGAGGTGGTATCTCATTGAGGTTTTGATTTGGAATCCCAACTTCTGATTAGTGCATGTTCAGAGAGTATTATAGTTGGGAAATCATTATTTTGCATTCAATTTAATAAAGATCATTCCAGGCAAGAATTATCAATAGATATTAAATATAGAGAGGAATCTTTTGAGGAGCAGGATAATTGTATGATCCTAAAATGTTTCTCCAAAGATTCTGTATTAGTTGCAATGGAAACATAATACATTTGAGAAACTGGACAACACCTCAACCAGGGAATCAAAATTAACGTTACCAATGGGAGGGCAGATGAATACTATGTTTTCCACATGTGATACCCTGAGAAGGACATGACATCACTTAAGCAGTATTCCAGCTAGGAATGCATTACCTGAGTCGAATCCTGAGAAATCATCACATGAGCCCCAAATAAGGTAGTTGTTTTGTTTTTTTTTAAGGGATTGTATTCTTCAAAAATGCTAATGTCATAAAAGACAAAGAAAGATTGTGGAAATGTTTCAGATTAAAGGAAACTGAAGAGACATAATGACTATATGTACCGTCTGATCGTAAACTAGATCCTCTATATACAAATACACATATACATATTCCATATATGTATAATACATATACTTATATATATCTTTATATGCAAATGTATCTATATATACTACAAATAGAGAAATATACATATTTATATATGTATAATATTAGAGAGAGAAAGAGAGAGATGTATACATCTATAGAGAGAAGCAAATAATAAGTAAATAATAAAGCAAATGGGGATAAAATGTTAACAATAGATGAATGAATCTGGGTAAAGGGCAGAGAATGAATGTTCTTTGTACTAATCTTATTCTTGAAATTTTTCTGAGTTTGAAATTATTTCCAACTAAACAAAAAATATGTATTAGAAACTTTTCTATCACTATAGATTCATCTTACCTATTTTTTCCTTTTTTATGTTTTTTTCTTTTTCAATTGAGATGTAATTTACATCAATAAAATGCACAGATTTAAGGGTATAGTTCAATTAGTTCTGACAACTGTATACACACATGTAACACCATCCAATCAAGATATACATTTCCCTAGATAATTCCCTTGTGCCTCCTTCCAATCAATCTCCACTCCCCCTTACCCATAACAGCAGCCCTCACTGTGATTTTCTAGGTTAGTTTTGCCTCTTCTTAAATGTTATATAAAAATAATCATAGAACATATACTCTTTAATGTCTAATTTCTTTCTTTCAGGAGAATATTTGGAGATGTGTCTATGTTGTTATAATAATCAATACTTCACTCTTTTCTATTGCTTAATGTTATTCCACTATGTGAATATGCCACAATTTCTTTATCCCTTCACATGTTGAAGGACATTCTTGCTTGTACATGCCTTTTTGTGGACATGTGTTTTCATTTCTCTTGGTTGGGTCATAGGTTAGGTGTATGGTAACTGCCACCTGTTTTCACTGTGGTTGTATCATGTCTTATCATTTTTGATGGTTACAAAGTATTTAGTTGATTGTGTAGACCATTATTTATTTAACTACTCCCCTGTTGTTTGTCATTATGGTATTTCTAATCATGTATTCTTACAGTTTGGTAATTAATATCATTGTATATGCAGACTTAAGCACATGTGTGAGAATCTGTAGAATAACTTTTGTAGGAAGGTCAATGAGCGTATATAGTTTAATTTTTGATCAATGCTGCCAGTTAGTCCTTCATATCAGTCATTACCAACTTCATTCTAATCAGCAAAGTATGAACGTGCCGGTTTTCCCCACATCTCTACCAGTTATCAGTAAAATATTTAATCTTGTCATTCTGTTTTCATTTTATGAGTATCACATATTGGTTTTATTTTTACTCTACAGTTGCCTATATTTATCTTAGATCCTTATTTTCTTTTACCCATACTATTACAGTACGTCTCCCTCTTTCAATCACTTTCTACAGTCTAGGACACTCTTTAGATTATATAACTCCAAAACCACCTTCCCAAGTCACTCCCCAACTGAAAAACCTTCACTGGATCCCCACTGCCTACTGAATAAAATCCAGACCTCTTATTCTTACACTGAAAACCTATTCCATATTTTCTACTTTTTTTCTTCCAAACAATTATCCTACTTATAGTCCAACAAGAATGGGGCTTCCCTGTGGACCTCACATAAAGTATGTCCTTCCTGTGTCCATGTCTTTACACATGCTGTTCCCTCTACGCATAATGCCCTCTGCTCTCTGCCCATGGAGTCCTACCTTCTTTAGAAACTCAGCTCAAATGCCATCTTCTCCACAGGCCCTGACCAAATGCAGACAAGATGAAAAGTCACACTTACCGGCACTTTCATTTTAAATTCATCTCGATAATATTTAATGCCAATGTCAGTGAATGCCCTCTGGATAAAGCGAGATGGACGAAGGATGAATATGAGCTGCAAGTTTCCTGGAAATGCTACCTGGAAGGATCACAGAAAGTGTCAGGGCAAATGTCACATCCATTGGTCTCCTCTTGCCCAAGATCACAGACAGGAAAGTTTAAGTAGACACCATAGATGCCAAAGAACTAGAGTATCTATCACGGGATTTCAGAGCTGAAAGAGATAGTGTTTGAATAATCCAAACCCCTCCTTAAAAATCATAACAAATCAAAAAAAATATTTCTGATTATAAAAGTATTTCATACTCCTTACAGAAAAAATTGGAAATTAATAAAAGTATACATTAGAAAAAGAAAACCACCAAAACCACCCATGATCTTATAGTCATTTTTAATATTCCAATCTAATTACTTACAGGCTATTTTCTCTGCTGAAATATCTTTATCACGGCTAAATTCATACTGTAGAAATATTTTGTAACCTGCTTTTTCCCTTAATATTATACCATGAGCTTTTATTTCTGTTATTTAAAAATTCTTTGGAAATACTATATTTCGTGGGTGCACAATTTACTTAACCAATCCTTTATTGCTAATGATTTAGGCTTTTCATACTTTTATACTTATAAATAACACTGAAATAAACATCTTAATCCACATTTTGGAACACTTTCTTTGGATAGTTTCCCAAAAGAATTACTGAGTCAAAGACTTAGTATTTTAATGGTTCCTGATGCATATTATTGCCAAGTAGCTTTCAGGAAGCATTGCCTTCATCTTGAGGCAAGTTCCTGAGAAATGAGATAACTCAGATTCATATAACAACTTAATGGCACAACTGGGACCCCAAGTCTCCCATTGCTCATGGCTTTCTCCCCTTCTAGTGGTTCCCGAAAGCAACCTCCTAAGGGGCTTGTTAAAAAGTAATCTGGTCTTTAGTCTGGAATATTCTGATTCACTAGAACTGGGATGAAATTCACATACCTATTTTCGACAAGCACCTGAAGAGATTCTGTCTGATTAGAAGCCAGGTTTTGGGATCCCTGTGCTACAGTGTCTTTTACCCATAAAGTGATAATGTAATTCTTGAACAAATTAGGCTCAAGTATTATATTATTCAAGTATTGCCAATGGACCCTGGAAAACCAGAACTCTCTTGAGGCCAGTCCTCTAAAATATTCATGGACACTGTCAAGTGTCTAAAGCCTTAGGGCATCAACCACCATTGTATTTATCTCCAAAATAAATCCTATAGCCAAAACTAAGCTAAAGGAACAAAACAATCCATACACAAAAGAAAGGGAGTCTTCCTTTCCCCCAATGTTTGAAATGCAAGCTCCTAAATAGAAGAGGCTTGCATTTTGTTATATCATGGTAAGACAAATGGCTGAGACAATATTTGTATTTCTGGCTGAGGCTCTAGATCTGAAACTCCGTATATGTGCATGTTTGCATGCGTGACTACCTTTGGAAGTAGGCATAAATGAGGCTTGGATTGTCCCTCTTCCATCCCAGCCTCCACACACACATTATCACCCTACCATATCCCATCCTCTTCAGCCAGTCCCAACTGCCCTAGGCAGCCTGTGCTTTGGTGGAAATGCTGGTAAGGTTGCCCTAAGGTATCTCTGCCTGCTCATGTGATTGAGTTCCCTGGCCTGAGGTCCTTGCAGAGAGAAAGGATACATCGACTTGCCGAAAGGCAACAAACAGGGATGAAAATCAGACTAATTAGATGGAAAAGGAAATTCATCCAAGGTTGTACAATCTCATACCAAAAGCAAGCATATATCATATTTTGTCTGGTTTTTCCAGTATCTTTCAATCTGTGAAAAACTAATTTGAATACTGAAGATTGGCTTACGTTGGGTGACCCTCCCCCCCAAAGCAAACCCTAAAACAAGGATTTGGGTATAGAGTTTATTGAGGAGGTGATCCCAGGAAACACAGTGAAGGAATGGGGGAGAGTGAGAAAGTGATAACAAGAAAGGCAATGTATCAAGAAGGGGCACTTCTGTGGGCAAGAAGGGCTGGGACCTTGTAGAGACCTGTGTGGTACATGTCTCAGAATTGTCCCACTGAGGGGTGTAGAGGCTGGGGCAGTTATCCATCAACTCCCATAACTCAATAGTTGATCACTCCTAGGGCATGAACTTCCCAGCACTCCCTCTGCCCCTCTTCGGTGACCAGAGAGGTCAATAAGGGAGATTCAGGAAGCTTTTGACGGGCTCAGGAATTGTCTGCAGTGACCTGCAGGTGGCAGAGGGGATAACGGACATGACACAATAGCCTCTGCTACAAAGACCTTCCCAAAATTTGGCATAAAACAATTGCCTTTTCCCTGTGACTTGGATAGGAAATAGTTGTAATAACAGCACAAAAATGAATATTTACAGCTATTCGTGTCAATGATGCTTTTACGGAGCTCCACTTGTCCCTTCGCCGGTCGATAACGATGACGAATCCAATGCTCGCAGCCTCCACACTGCAAAAAAGGATGGTCAGTATCAGAGACCAGGTAAGACACGTGGGTTCTGGGCGGGCTCCCTCCCCAGGACATTCTACAGCCTCTGGCGCATGTGTAAACATGCTGCATGGCACAAGGGAAAAACCTGGTCTGACTTCCTGACAAAAGAACCACTTCCTCTCCTGATCTCAGCCTCGCAGCCTTAACAAAACAGAAATACTTGGTGTCTCAAACCGTCTCAAGGGCTCTGTTTATGGCTGGCAAGTGTCTGAAACACCCAAGGAGCACATGTGCTCATACCTAGAGGAAAATGCACATGTCAGGTAGGCATCACATGCCCCAGTGTACACAAAGGAACTCAAGGTTGGGCTCTGCCACCTTTCCACTCCCAAAACTGACATTCATGCAGCTATCAATATGCTTCCATAGGAGTGAGTCCTAGAGGTGTTCAGAAATACCACATGTCTATGGGAAAAACAACCCCCTTCCAATGCCCAGCTATAAACAGCCAGCAAATTATATGCACAAGAAGGTATTATTTTCATTAAAAATGAAAGGAAGCTGTTTGGCCCGCTCCTAAGTCCTCACAAAATTCTTTTAAACTAAACTCCCAGAAATGTAAACATTTTTCTTCTTTCTCTCTTTGGGAGGAACTATGATATACAGGAAAGAGCAAGGGCTTTGGATTCTAGTGGCTCAAATCCTCATTCTGCCACTTACTAGCACTGTGACACTGGGGAAGTCATCCACCCTCTCTAAAGCTCAGTTTCCTTATCCATAAAATGAAAACAATACCACCAATAATGAAGTCATTAAAAGGATAAATTCTGAAGCCAGACTGCCTAGGTTTGAAGCATGAATTCCACCATTTATATAGCATGTATGGGGGTGGGAGGTAGAGTTACTTAACCTCTATAGTTTCTAAGAGTCCCCATTTGTAAAGCAGGAAAGAAATAGTATCTGTTTATATGGTTGATGTGAGGATTAAATGAGTATGTATAACAAATATATAAGAGGCTCAAAACAATGCCTGGCACTTGGTACATACACACTGTACATATACTAATATTATGATTATTTCATACGTCCTTGTCATGGCAATGAAAAGAGATCAAGTACATGAAAAGTAGTTGGCCTCTAGTAAACTTTTAATAACTCTCTAATATTGGGCAAAAGATGAGCTTTACCCTAATGAGTGCCTGTATGTGGATAAGGCAGAAGATCTAAGCAAACACTAAGAAAACACAAGTAGCTGATCTGAAGTAGGCATTATTGGGCCAAGCCATTATCACAGTTTTACACTGACCCAGGTTCTCTCACTGGGAACATTTCCCAGGCCACAGTACAAGGACGGATGGTCTCACCGGGTAAAAGAGGAAGAGACTGGGGATTATAAAAGCAAAAGTTGCCAGAACTTGAGGAGGGTGACTGTGAAGAAAGAACAGAGAGGGAACCCCAGAAATCTTCATGGAAGTTCTCCTTTGATGTGGCCAATGCCCAGGCCCCACTATTTCAGGCAAGAGTCCAGGAGACTGACAGAGAACAACAACTACACATGTGAAAACTTATGAAAAGTTATAAAGTTTGCATAGTTCTGGGGAAAGAAAGATAGTTGGCATTGGGCCCACCCAGAATAGACAGATTTTGATGAGCTCTCTGGGCCTTCAGGTGAAACTCTAGAAAGGCAATACTCTAGGATAAATGAAACATCATAGGAATTGCCATAGGATTAAGGCTACACTCTAGGAATAAGGACCAAGCAGAAATGGACTTACCCTAAGAAAACCTAAAAAGCAGGCCTCAAAAAGATCAAGGTGTCTACCAGTAATTTAACTTCCCACCAGATCAAACTCAATACTTTTTATAAGCAGATAAGCCTCTACAACATATCATCTATAATATCCAGCACAAAATAAAAAATTAATAGAAATGCAAAAAAGCAAGAAGAAAACAATAATTAAGAGATGAAACAGTCAATAACTATGGACTCAAAGATATTCCTGATTTGGCAGACAAAACTTTAAAATAATTATGATCAATATGTTAAAAGAAAAAGAGGAAAGGGTAGACAAAATAGATTAAAAGATACATTATTTCAGCAGAGAATTAGAAACTGTAATAAAGAATCAAATGAACCTCCTAGAATTATAAAACACCAATATCTGAAATTAAGAACTCAGTGGATTTAACAGCAGACTGAACACAGCAGAAGACAAGATAGGTGAAACTGAAAATATATGAATTGAAAATATTCAAACTGAAACACAGAGAAATGGAAAGGATAGAATGTTAAAGAGATATGGGCCATGAACAGAGTCCCACAAGGAGAGGAGAGAGAATATGTTACAGAAAAATATTTTTTTAAAGATTTTATTTATTCATCTGAGATACAGAGAAAGAGAGAGAGGAGAGAGCCTGAGCAGGGAGAGAGGCAGAGGGAGAAGGAGAAGCAGGCTCCTTGCTGAGCCAGGAGTCCGATGTGGGGCTTGATCCCACAACCCTGGGATCATGACCTGAGCCGAAGGCAGATGCTTAACCATCTGAGCCACCCAGGTGCCCCCAGAAAAATATTTTTTAAAAAAAGCAATGAAGAATTTTCCATATCTGATCAAAGACATCAACTCACAGATTCAAGCAGCTCTTCTAATACCAAGCAGGATAAATACAAAGAAAACTTGATCCAGGTATATCAGAGCCAAGTGGCTGAAAATTAAAGATAAGAAGAAACCCTTAGGAGCATCTGGGTGGCTCAGTTGATTAAGCAGCTGCCTTCGGCTCAGGTCATGATCCCAGGGTCCTGGGATCGAGTCCCACATCAGGCTCCCTGTTCAGCAGAGAGCCTGCTTCTCCCTTTCCCTCGGCCTGCTGCTCTGCACTACTTGTGCTCTCTATCTCTGTCAAATAAATAAATTTTTAAAAAATATTAAAAAAAAAGAAACCCTTAAAAGCAACCAGTGAAAAAAAGACACATTACCTCCAGAAGATTAACATTAAAAAAAAAATTTTTTTTTCATTGACTTTTCAACAGAAACTATGGAAGCTACAATCCAATGGAATGTTATCTTTCACGTAGTAACCTGAAAAAAGGACCCATTTAGCATTCTATACCAATTGAAAATTCATTTAAAAAATGAAGGTGAAATAAGGGTGTTTCCAGACAATTAAGCGGAGAGAGAGAATTTATTGCCAGTAGGCATTCACTTCAAGAAATATTAAAGGATGTTCTCCAGGCTGAATAAAGTTGGAAGCATGAAAGGGGAAGAAAAATAAACAGCCTGAAAAGGAGATTCAGTGCTGATTAGGAAGACTTTCATCCTTATATTTAAAAAAAACAACAACAAAAAACTACTAGAGAGTATTACGCTAAGTGAAATAAGTCAGAGAAAGACAAATACCATATCGTTTCACTCATATGTAAAATTTAAGAAACAAAGGAGTAAAGGGGACAAAAAGAGAGAGAGGCAAACCAGGAAACAGACTCTTAACCACAGAAAGCAAACTGATGGTTATCAGAAGAGAAGGGGGTGGGGGATAGGAGAAATAGGTGATGGGGATTAAGGAGCGCACTTGTGATGAGCACTGGGGCTTGTATGGAAGTATTGAATCATTATATTATACACCTGAAACTAATTTTACACTGCATGTTAACTAACTGAAATTTGAATAAAAACATCAAAAAAAAAAAAAAACCCTCATGGAAACTGGCTGGGCAGAGGTTAGGAGCTGCACAATGAATGCTGACCCCTCTTCAGTTTAGTTAGTTTTGTTTATTGCCCAAAACACTGATAGTAACAGAGGTTTACTGATACCTAATGGGATGCAGTGTGAGATTAAGGTGTCCATAAAGCAGCTGGTGCAGCAACAACGACAACAAACTGGTTAAATTAAAAACCCATATTTGTCCTTTAAGACATTAGGGAACTCTGAAAATAAAGAAAGCTAAATAAACAAATTCCAGAGAGAGTTAGGAGTTGCTTCCATAGGGAGCAACTACTAGAAGAGGCTTTCATTTCAAGTGGTGGTTGCTTATTCTGGTAATAGGCTAATGAATGTCCATCGCTGAAAGGAAATAATCCCACACAGTAACCTGAATCTGCAAAAGGAATGAAGAGCACTGTAAACATTACATATGTGGATTAATATTATCAACGGTATTTTTTTTTTTTTTTTCACGAAAAGACTACTGACTATTAAAAGTGAAAACAGCGGTGCCTGGGTGGCTCAGTCAGTTAAGAATCTGCCTTCAGCTCAGGATCCCAGGGTCCTGGAATCGAACCCCACGTAGGACTCCCTCCTCAGTGGACAGCCTTCTTCTCCCTCTCCCTCTGCTGCTCCCCCTGCTTATGCTCACTCTCTCTCTCTCTGTCAGATAAATAAATAAAATCTTTTAAAAAAAGTGAAAACAATAAGTATTAAATA